GGGTTGAGATATTTCAGTCTGGGCCACAGCGCAGTGTTGGACCGGGAGCTGACAGTGACAGTCCTTGACTACAACAACCTTCCAATCGAGGCCAGCCTGAGTCAGTCCTTTGGTCTGGTACCTGTGCAGGTATCCTGCTGGTCGAGCTGACCCTCCTGCTGCCTGTGTTCTCCTCCTCCTCCTGCCCTCGGCCTTTCCCTCCTTTCCTCAGTCGCTTTGATTGGCACTGCACCTCAGTCAGCAGGCCTACGGGGAAAACATGAGCATTTTCAGACAAAACCAGTCAGATGCATATTGCTTTAGGGTTCCACGGGTCTTCTATCTGATTGCATCATGGTGAACAGTTCATTTGTCTCTTACACTCAGCCAGCATTCCTACAGCACGGCATTTCCTCAGCCGGCAGTCTTGGCACTTCCTCCTCATGTACATGTCCATCTCACAGCCGCCGCCACTCTTGCAGTGATACACGGCCTTTTTAGTCACACTGCGCCTGAAGAAACCTGCAGCGAGACAGAAGCAGAGACTCGCTGAAAATTACAATAAATGAGCAGGTCTAGAAGAATATAAAGCGAACAAAGACACACCTTTGCATCCTTCACAGGTCAGAGCGTTGTAGTGATACCCTGAAGCTTTATCTCCACACACCACGCACAGCTCGTCCTGACCTCGGCTCTTCCCTCCCAAACCCACCCGTGACCTGCGCCCAAGGGGGACGCCGACCGCTCCCTGAGCCAGGCCCCCGCAGTGGGGATCAGGGCCGGGATCACAGGGGGCCTCCAGGCAGTGGGGGTTGTAGTGGTAGGCAGGATGGAAGAGCTGCGAGGAGGACGAGGGGGGTGAAGAGGTGGAGGAGGGCGGAGAGCCGTAGAGGGAGAAGGGCAGGTTGGCAGGGCTGTACTGCTGCTGGCTGTAAGGGAGCAGCTGGAGGTCAGGGTCCTGCAGGGGGTAGCCCAGAGGGTCGGCCAGCATGTCTGGAATGGAGGAAGAAAAAAAAGNTGAGAGATGACTGAATTATTCCTGGTCAGACCTGAGCAGAGCAGAGCTGTGGCCGTGAGCAGCGTGTACTCGGCCTCCGTCACCCGCAGCGCCGCCATGCTGTGGAAGAAGTTGAGCACCGGCCCGAACAGATCCTCACCGCCTCCTGCTCACATCCGCAGATAAGAAAAGCCTCAGTCACTCACTGAACCGTTTTATTTCCAGCCTGTAGGGCTTAAGCGTCCGGGTGTGGACTCACCTGAGTTGATCCTGCTGTAGATGTTTTCCTTTGACTCGACATTTCTGAACCAGCTGTGTGTCGACATACTGAAAAGCTGCAGAGCTGATAACAGAGGAAAATAAAGTACGAATCATAACCGTGTGTGCCAGACTTCTGTGCGTCTCACCTGGTGGTTTACTCACCTGGACTTGGGCTTGTGGGGTTGTGGGAGAACTGCTGAGCTGAGAGCAGGAACATCACCTCCAGAGAGGAGACGGACAGCAGAGAGCTCTGATCAGAGAAGTCCAGGAGGTCAAACCCTGTGACGGGGACATCGTTATTTGTTCTTGTTGTATCGCAGCATGAATGAATTATTGAAGACATTTCAGAATTTAAATCAAGAAATTATATATTTACAGAATAATTCATCAAGTCTGTAGCACCATCATGCTACAAATAAAAGAGGGAACTGTGGCATCTACGGTATGATAAGTACTGAAATACTGCCTACAGATGAAGATAATGAAGTATGGTACCGGGAAGAGATATCGTCTCAATCATGTATTCAGCTAAAATATAAAAATGTGTAATATAAATTTAGATTTTTTTAGATTTTGGCAGGGCTTTATGTACCAGCAGGCACTGACAGTAGCTCTCCTCTGATAGGCTGCTGTATTTTAGACCATCTTACCTGGAACCGTCCTGGCAAACTGCAGCAGTCTTTGTAGGAGAGGCGACACGACGTCAGACAGAACCTCCTGTTCTTCTGTGCACGGCCACTCAAACAGCTGTAAACACGAGAAATAGCATGAGGAGGCCGTGAAAACTTCTTCTGCAAGTGTCCCTGCTGCAGACGTACCCTGCATCCGGCGCCGTCCTGAGCTCTGTACAGCCGATGAGCCTCCACCATCCTGTCCACGATGTGCTTCTGCTCTCTGGTTAAACTGGCAGACAAAGCCTGGTGTGAACGGAAGTCGACACAAAACACAGCGTCAGGATTATGATGTCACTTCCTCATGAGAAACTCCACCGCAGACAGCTTAATGAAGGGAGATCATAGCTGTTATATGAATATGACAACCAGTGGTGCTGGTGGAGGGTTTACACTGTTCTGCTATACAGTCGTGTGGAACAAACTGTTGTTGTTTGTTTTTTTACCTATTCAAATTAAACGACTACAAAATGTCAATTTAATGTCATGTCGTTAAAGCATTTCACCTTTATCAGAAGGCAGTGTTTTAAAGAGAATAACGTGTTTAGGTTATTAATCCTACCAGCCACAAAACAAATCATTACTCCAGCCATCAACACCACAAAATGACCAAAT